ATGATGATAATAATAATAATGATGTTGAGGATGATGATAATAATAATAATGATGTTGAGGATGATGATAATAATAATAATGATGTTGAGGATGATGATAATAATAATAATGATGTTGAGGATGATGATAATAATAATAATGATGTTGAGGATGATGATAATAATAATAATGATGTTGAGGATGATGATAATAATAATAATGATGTTGAGGATGATGATAATAATAATAATGATGTTGAGGATGATGATAATAATAATAATGATGTTGAGGATGATGATAATAATAATAATGATGTTGAGGATGATGATAATAATAATAATGATGTTGAGGATGATGATAATAATAATAATGATGTTGAGGATGATGATAATAATAATAATGATGTTGAGGATGATGATAATAATAATAATGATGTTGAGGATGATGATAATAATAATAATGATGTTGAGGATGATGATAATAATAATAATGATGTTGAGGATGATGATAATAATAATAATGATGTTGAGGATGATGATAATAATAATAATGATGTTGAGGATGATGATAATAATAATAATGATGTTGAGGATGATGATAATAATAATAATGATGTTGAGGATGATGATAATAATAATAATGATGTTGAGGATGATGATAATAATAATAATGATGTTGAGGATGATGATAATAATAATAATGATGTTGAGGATGATGATAATAATAATAATGATGTTGAGGATGATGATAATAATAATAATGATGTTGAGGATGATGATAATAATAATAATGATGTTGAGGATGATGATAATAATAATAATGATGTTGAGGATGATGATAATAATAATAATGATGTTGAGGATGATGATAATAATAATAATGATGTTGAGGATGATGATAATAATAATAATGATGTTGAGGATGATGATAATAATAATAATGATGTTGAGGATGATGATAATAATAATAATGATGTTGAGGATGATGATAATAATAATAATGATGTTGAGGATGATGATAATAATAATAATGATGTTGAGGATGATGATAATAATAATAATGATGTTGAGGATGATGATAATAATAATAATGATGTTGAGGATGATGATAATAATAATAATGATGTTGAGGATGATGATAATAATAATAATGATGTTGAGGATGATGATAATAATAATAATGATGTTGAGGATGATGATAATAATAATAATGATGTTGAGGATGATGATAATAATAATAATGATGTTGAGGATGATGATAATAATAATAATGATGTTGAGGATGATGATAATAATAATAATGATGTTGAGGATGATGATAATAATAATAATGATGTTGAGGATGATGATAATAATAATAATGATGTTGAGGATGATGATAATAATAATAATGATGTTGAGGATGATGATAATAATAATAATGATGTTGAGGATGATGATAATAATAATAATGATGTTGAGGATGATGATAATAATAATAATGATGTTGAGGATGATGATAATAATAATAATGATGTTGAGGATGATGATAATAATAATAATGATGTTGAGGATGATGATAATAATAATAATGATGTTGAGGATGATGATAATAATAATAATGATGTTGAGGATGATGATAATAATAATAATGATGTTGAGGATGATGATAATAATAATAATGATGTTGAGGATGATGATAATAATAATAATGATGTTGAGGATGATGATAATAATAATAATGATGTTGAGGATGATGATAATAATAATAATGATGTTGAGGATGATGATAATAATAATAATGATGTTGAGGATGATGATAATAATAATAATGATGTTGAGGATGATGATAATAATAATAATGATGTTGAGGATGATGATAATAATAATAATGATGTTGAGGATGATGATAATAATAATAATGATGTTGAGGATGATGATAATAATAATAATGATGTTGAGGATGATGATAATAATAATAATGATGTTGAGGATGATGATAATAATAATAATGATGTTGAGGATGATGATAATAATAATAATGATGTTGAGGATGATGATAATAATAATAATGATGTTGAGGATGATGATAATAATAATAATGATGTTGAGGATGATGATAATAATAATAATGATGTTGAGGATGATGATAATAATAATAATGATGTTGAGGATGATGATAATAATAATAATGATGTTGAGGATGATGATAATAATAATAATGATGTTGAGGATGATGATAATAATAATAATGATGTTGAGGATGATGATAATAATAATAATGATGTTGAGGATGATGATAATAATAATAATGATGTTGAGGATGATGATAATAATAATAATGATGTTGAGGATGATGATAATAATAATAATGATGTTGAGGATGATGATAATAATAATAATGATGTTGAGGATGATGATAATAATAATAATGATGTTGAGGATGATGATAATAATAATAATGATGTTGAGGATGATGATAATAATAATAATGATGTTGAGGATGATGATAATAATAATAATGATGTTGAGGATGATGATAATAATAATAATGATGTTGAGGATGATGATAATAATAATAATGATGTTGAGGATGATGATAATAATAATAATGATGTTGAGGATGATGATAATAATAATAATGATGTTGAGGATGATGATAATAATAATAATGATGTTGAGGATGATGATAATAATAATAATGATGTTGAGGATGATGATAATAATAATAATGATGTTGAGGATGATGATAATAATAATAATGATGTTGAGGATGATGATAATAATAATAATGATGTTGAGGATGATGATAATAATAATAATGATGTTGAGGATGATGATAATAATAATAATGATGTTGAGGATGATGATAATAATAATAATGATGTTGAGGATGATGATAATAATAATAATGATGTTGAGGATGATGATAATAATAATAATGATGTTGAGGATGATGATAATAATAATAATGATGTTGAGGATGATGATAATAATAATAATGATGTTGAGGATGATGATAATAATAATAATGATGTTGAGGATGATGATAATAATAATAATGATGTTGAGGATGATGATAATAATAATAATGATGTTGAGGATGATGATAATAATAATAATGATGTTGAGGATGATGATAATAATAATAATGATGTTGAGGATGATGATAATAATAATAATGATGTTGAGGATGATGATAATAATAATAATGATGTTGAGGATGATGATAATAATAATAATGATGTTGAGGATGATGATAATAATAATAATGATGTTGAGGATGATGATAATAATAATAATGATGTTGAGGATGATGATAATAATAATAATGATGATGAGGATGATGATGATAATAATGATGATGATAATGATAATAATAATAATGATGATGAGGATGATGATGATGATAATGATGAGGATGAGGATGAGGATGATGAGGATGATGATAATAATAATAATGATGATGAGGATGATGATAATGATGAGGATGATGATGAGGATGATGAGGATGATGATAATAATAATAATGATGATGATGATGA